AAGCCGGCTTCTGTAGTACGTAAGAAGCCAGTTTGTAAAAGCCGGCTTCTTGGTGACTCCAGAAGCCGGCTTCTGTTGTCCTTCGAAAGCCGGCTTTTAAAAGCCGGCTTCTTGGTGACTCCAGAAGCCGGGTTCTGTAGTACGTAAGAAGCCAGTTTGTAAAAGCGGTTTTTGCCTTCGAGTACTTCTGGATCAAGGGGAATCAATCAATATATTATTTTTTATTAGTTTATTGCAATCACTTTTAGATCAGTGGCACATATAGTTAAACTAGTGCAGCAGTTAAAACATACAATATACATGTGTACAAGCACAATTCTAAAGCAGAGCTAAAAACATTTACAACATAAGACATAAAAACAAAACTAAAACATTTGCAATTCATTAACTTGTTGGTGCTACAAATATGTTTTTGATAAAACACTTTGAGCATGCATCAAAAATATAACCTTGTTCGTGACCTAAGATACCACAGGATGCATCCCAAGCACCCATTCTAAACCATTATTTGGAATACATGTCTTAAAAGTAATTATAAATGTGTGGAAGTCTATTCTCAATGCTATTATAAAATATATACCTTTCCTCTTTAAACTTTGTGCAAGTAAAAAATCGATGTTCAAGAGTTTCTTTACAGCTCATATGACAAAAAGGAACATATTCCAACACGTATACCCCATCTCTAAAGATCAGTGGCCAGACCAAAGCATCCCGATCTGGCCTTGAATTTAAGTTTTTGAGCAAAGAAGTCACAATCATTTTTCCACTAGTGTGTTTCTTTTAATATTACTATATACTGTAAGTGACTTTTTCTGGTTTATCGAGTCAAAAAATGTATTGCGTAACAAATCATTAGATATTTTCAAATATGACGAGTACCAATCTGTGTCCTCTCTGTATATTACATCGTCTAAACCATGGTTGGTCAAAATATCTTTTATACTAGAAAAATAAGACCAGGTGGCTGTATTTTCCTTTTTAAAGTTCTCAAACATATAATTGAATATATCAGCACAAATGCCAAAAGGGAAAGGTGACTAAAAACCTTAAGGAAACCCATCAAGAAAAGCAAACTGTAAGTGTAAATCTGTCATAAGAAAAGTAGACCCTATATATCCCAAAACCATGATCTAACGTGAAAAGAAACAATGTCTAACATCCCCCTCTCCCCCTCCAATCGAGAACCAATATCACAATCCAGGACCAGAACACCAAGGGACATTTCATTCATACTGAAGTCATTACAATACATGTTGAAGAAAAACTGAAAAATTGATAGCCAATACTCATAACATCAAAAATAGTTGTAGATACTAGTTCTTATAAAAGATAGAGTATTCAGTCGCAAATGATGTGGGATAGATAAAATCCAGTTTCGAAGTCCATAGGCAATTCAAAGGGTCGACATCCGTTCGCAAAGCCATCATCATAATCCATAAAACACAACAATTCACAGTGGTCATCAGGAGAAAACTATGGCTGGTTTCGATCCCTATTTCTCAACCATTAATGCCATAGCCGGGATCCACCTCAAAAGGTGACAAGTGAAAAATTGTGAGTTCATTGCCAATTTGTTTTATACCATTCCTACATCCTTCAGCATCTCAAGTGGTAAAATTTGAAATTTCAAAATTAATGACTTGTACGTTTCAGCAAAGCCCAGAGCTCTTTAAGTAGATGAAATAGTCAAATTGTCTTTTATTTTTGACATTACATATAGGCCTCCATCCCAAGTCACCAAACAGGGCCTCTTAAGCAAGATTACACTTAAGTTGTAATAGCGATTTTATATTGAAAGGTAGCTAGTGTTTTGCAATTTGATTTGTTTAATACGAAGGTACTACAACCATGCAAAATTGCAGGTACACACATTGAATTAAATATATAGTATCACCAAAGCTTATGCATTTTGCATTACAGTGTTTACTCAGAGTTGAGCACAACATGCCTTGCATGCGTTTAGCTTTTGGCTTAAAGTGTGCGCCAAAGTTTAAAACTGCGCAGGCGCACCACTCTCGCTAAACTATATAAAGAGATTACCACGGTACACGATTCAGAGGTAAGCCAGGAAGGCGAACGATCTTCGTCTCGTGATGATTTCCCATATAATCGTAACCAGGGAAGTTTCACCATTGAAATTAAAAATTACTATTAGATATACTTTGTAGATGTTATTTATGAAGCTATTTAGTGTTTGCATCAATCAAATGGCTCATTTTGAACATATTAAAAGTATTTGTGTTTTGTTTCCCAGGGAATTGTATTGTACGTAGTACACACATAAATAGTGTACATTATACAGTACTTGAATAGCCTGGTTTACATAATATTGAAGGGCATGCTGATTACATGTACACGAGTACATGAATGAAGTCCTAATATTGATATACGTAGCTTGCATACCTAAATAAAAAATAAACTCTTCTAATCCCATAATGTAAACACGGCGGTATACGTAGCCCGATTTATCGGGGACTTTAAGGAAGGCATCTGTGTGATAGGTGTCCTTTAATGTCCTATCAAAGTAGACCCCCAGATATTTATAGTTTTGGACTTCAGTTAGTGGAAGATCACCAAGATGCCGAATCTTTTCTTTATTGACGCGCTTACTACACTATTACTTTGGACTTGTTTGGGCTATATTTAACGCCCCATTTTAGTGAGATTTTATTTGCAATTTGCAACATTTTGTTCAATTCCCCTTCAGATTCATCCAAAAGGACAATATCATCTGCAAAAAGCAGAGCAGGGTATAAACAGCAACCCTGTTTTAGGCCTGTGGGAGCACTATTCCAGTCACTCTCAGGGCTGTTACCTGTGATTGGAGTGTCATTTTCAAAATTCAGATTTTTCATAAGTTCATTATCAAAATAATCACCATTTGACTTACCAAATAAGACCTTATTTTTGACATCTTTATAGGATTCACGGAGCAATCTCCGAGTTTTACCCAGGATACCATTTTCCCAGAGTTTCATGAAAAGAAGATCTCTATCTTTAACATCAATAGCTTTAGTCATGTCAAGAAAAGCCAAAGTGTATTTTTGCGTTTATTTTTACGAATACTACAGAGACATTTCAGGGCAAATATGTGGTTATGTGATTCTCTAAACTAAAATTACTGCGAAACGCCCCTGGAGATCACCAAATAAGTTCTTTTCTTCACAGAAAAACATTATTTTGCGCTCAAGAAGGGCAGTAACCAACTTATAAACATTCGAGTTTATAGTAATTCCGCGATAGTTATTCAGGTCCTCCGTATCGCCATTCTTATGCAATGGTTTCAAGAGCACATATTTCCATTCATCTGGCATAGTTTTAAGCAACCTCACTTTTGTAAAAATGGCATTAAGCGTATGAATCATCAACATTCCTACTTTTTTTCAGAAATTCATTAGGGATTTGGTCTGTACCACAGGCCTTACCATTACTTAAGGTTTTAATTGAGTTTTAATATCTTCCTGGTCAAATATAAAGTCGGACATTGCATCATTAGAGAAAACAGTTTCCCTTTCCAGTTGCTCAATGATGTGTGCATTAGAATTTTCTTTAAAAAGGGGGTTCTATTTTTTCTACCGACAGAGTCCCAGTAGTCTCTTAGGGCATTTGACACTAATATTGGGTCAGCTATAATATTACTATTTTCCTCTGGATCCTTTATTTAGCATTGGACATCTTAAGTGTTTTCAAAAACGACTTCGAGCTTTTTGTCTTTTTGGACGCGTTTTTCAAAATTGTTTTGATATGGAATTGAACATGTAATTCTTTAATTTTTTCCTGAACTTGTTATTTTCGACATATATAAAGATCCAACATTTCAGATAAGATACATTTGGATCGCTACTTTGGCGCGGGCCCAACATCTATAAAAGCGGCATGCCGTTTTGCGGTTCTGAATCAATTTTTTAATTTCGTCGTTCCAAAACGATCGTTGATCAGAAGAAACCTTTTTCGCCCAATAAACGTTAATGCAGCTTTAGTCATTTTGTCTTTCCAAATTTCCCACACCTTATTGATTCCTTGAAAATTCGACATATCCCAGTCAAAAAGCTCACAAAGCTGGTCAGAGAGGCTTTTTGGAAAGAGCTCCAATCAGGATTATCAGTTATATCCCATTTTGTAAAAGTAACATGATTGTCATTACATTTACGGTTTTTCCTTTGCCTCCCATTATCAAGAATTCAATGATAAAGAATGAATGGTCGCTTCCCAGTGAGACCCTATCATGATTTTCATCAATAAGCATACTTTTAGAATTATCAAGGAAATGATCATGAGCTAAAGCATAGTCTATGCAAGAAAACATTTGATTTTTTGCCCATGTTATTTGACCTGTGCATTTTAGGCTAAGGTTTAGGGATTCCATGCCAGTACTTTAAGCAAGAATTTCCACAAAATCACCATTTGGACTAAATTCCAAAGCCTTTCAATGCGACCATTAAAATCCCCTAGTAAAAGAGTAGGAATGCTATAATTATTTCTAGCTTTGATACATTTTCCATGAGTTCCAGTGTCATCTTTTCATAGAGGTCCTTATTTTTACCGTCAACAGGATAATAAGTAACCCCAATGTTAATGCTGCGTCATTGACTTTAACTTGGATCCAAAACCTTTCTAACTCATCAATACCGAAATCTAATACATTGTCATTAGTGACTGTTCCATCATTTCCATATGTCCTACACAGATGAATATTCCTGATCTCATAAATCCCACAAGACAGTCAAAATATTTAAAGGAGAATGTACCCCAATTCATACCCTCTAATCACTGCCCCTTGGACCCGCCCTTGGAATTGCAATCATTTTGCAAAGTGTGAAAATGATTTAAGCACTGAACAGAACACATTGCTTTGTAAAATACGTCACTCATGGGTTGCTAGACCCTTCATTGAATACGGTATTATTCGTTATTGTTACTAAACATTGATATTCGTAATCATTTTGCAAAGTGTGAAAATGATTTAAGCACTGAACAGAACACATTGCTTTGTAAAATACGTCACTCATGGGTTGCTAGACCCTTCATTGAATACGGTATTATTCGTTATTGTTACTAAACATTGATATTCGTAATATAACTGATATTAACATAATGCTATATTTTGCACATGTAAAGTATATTTTGGCAATTCATTTACTGATGTCCTCAAATATATATTTGGCCATTTTTATATATTTTCTGCACATAGAATTTTCCACCATTAAGGTAAATCTTTGCATTGATTGGAGTCAATAGATATAATCAAATGATCGGAACATATGTTACTTTGATATATTCCTCAGCATAACAGTCAAGACACCACGTATTTCTTTACATAATTCAGTAGGCCATCCATGAATTGGAATTGAACAAATGTTGTCTCGCAAAGATCATTGGCATGTCTTTAGTTAGTATTAAAACACAGAGCTCTCGCTATCCAAAATCAACCATTGATCAACCATTGTTATTCCGTGTATAAAATGTACTTTGTACAATGCCTTGTCTCCCATGTGTAGGTCTATGGTTAAAGTCGTTATTCCCTCCCAGCCCCCAACCGTATTCGTAGGAGCTAACAGTGGGGAAGTCATATTTCTCATCAGGTCCATATTTCTTATATCTGCTCTGGAGGTATTGATGGGTACCTTTTCCTTCTTTACTCAAGCCGTCATATAACAGTTTCTTAGTCTCCGCAGATACTGGTTTCATATCATTCAGTGGTGCGTCTTCGTTGTATTCTAATTGTATTGTTTTTACTTTATTAAAGTTCGCCTTTTTACGTCCAAAGCTTCTGGGCTCTCGTTTTCCTTCTGTGAGTCTCTTGTCAACTGTTATGTTTTCATCGAATGGTTTTGTTGAGTTTTCAATCTTTTTCTTCATAACTTGAAATCTCTTTGATGTTTGTGGTGTTTCCATATCCAAGACGATGTCTACCTTGGCCGTCGCAGGTATGCCCTCATCGCCAAAGCGATCTTTGTACCAGTTTAGACGGGCGTCTCTCTCTCTACGGTATGACTCTTCTATGAATCGAACCAAATGAGTGTCTTGTAGATACGCTGTGCGAGACATCTTGGCCGACTATTCTGCAACACGAACAATTAAAAAATAAGTTAATCACATAAGTAATGATCATCCTTTAATTAAACCATCGAGTGTAAGATATCGAGTTTATCTTAAAAGCAACCGAATTTTGAATAGAAAATGTTGAATAATATTCACAACGACTCATCAAAAACGTGTGTTTGCTTAGATGCAGAATAGGATCAACGATGAAAACATTTCATGAAACTCTTACTTACCAAATGATATTCACAATATCTTGAAAATTTCTAGATCCTCACCGCTGCTACGACGTAAACAATATTAGTACGTCACGTTTTCACCGAAGATACGTAACGTAACGTCAACCTTGTTACGTTGCCCAGTTGAGATGATAACTCTCACTCAGTATTTTTACTATTCTGTCACAATTTCTTAACGACAGAACAACAGTAATGTGATATTCTCTAAAAGTGTCCAGTGACCGGTCACATGTTACCTAAACCCAACACGACCACTTTTGAACCTTTTCAAGTTTGTCACATAAAGGGTAAAGATTAATGCGTTGTCAAGCGGATTAGAGGATTTATTCATTAATCCATTAGAGTTACATACAACATAACAATACATACATTAACAACTATAAATGTCGATTTTATTAAGACATAATCGAACGACTAAGTGGATAATCGGCGCATAGTATATAATCACATAAGAAAACAAAGGTTTATAAAGTGAATTATTGTGATTTCGACCCAACACTTGCAATCATCTATCCACAGGAAGACTTTAAAGAAAATTCACAAATACATGTACATGTAGCTAGGCAAGGTGTGTCAAATTCTAGCCAATCAGAACACAGTATTTCAAATAATTGGATCACGAACCCACTATAATGCACCCAGGCTATTTTTACATTCTAGTGAGTATAAGAGGCTATTTTTACATTCTAGTGAGTTTTAGAGGCTATTTTCAGATTCTAGTGAGTTTAGATTCTATTTTCATATTATATCAGTTTCAATATTTCAAGAAGGCAGTACCTTGTAAAAATTTGGCGTTGTAAAAAATAATTCTTTTAAGTGTGATGCCGTACAAAATATTTTGCAATGTCTGAAAATAAAAGTCCACCCTCTTTAATTGATCACATATGTATTGATAATGCCAAACTTGATATGGTGGAATTTTGCCAAATTATTGCTGGTGACTGTGAACTTTGTTCTGATCATTTATGTATATTTGCATCATTTAACATTGACATTTATGTGGTGGATAAATTGCTTACTAAGCCAGCTTTAGCTTGGAATAAATTAAAATACGAGCAGATAGTAAATGGCTACTCTAACTGTGTATCTTTATCGTTGCAGGGAGTTCTTGAGAAAACACAGAGAGGCCTTTACACTGACACATCACAGCTAAATGACGACATTACACGTACATTGAAAAATGCTTCAGATAAACACATTCCTGTTAAAAAATTTGTACCCTATCTTAAGCCCTATTGGAACTCTGAATTAAAACGTATTCACAAAGACCAGAAAGTCGCCCGTGCCAGATGGTTACGCGATGGACGTCCAAGGGGTATGACATTCGAATCTTTTGCCATGTATAAGTCTGCCAAATCCAAGTTCAGGAAAGAGCAGCGTAAACAGCAAGATGAGTGGATCGAATCCGTTTACGCCGAAATAGACACGGCTGATGAGTTTAATCAGAAACTTATGTGGGCAATTATGAAGCGGAGGCGAAAACGTTCTGTCCCTATTTGCCAAGAACTCGAGGTCGATGGAATTCTCACGCGTAAGCCACAAGAAATCGTGAACCGGTTTAAAGATTACTCTGAATTGTTATTTACCGAATTGTGCGATCCAGAATTCAATGATGATTTTAAGCAAGAAATCTCTGATGAAGTAAGATCCTTTTTACAAATCCCGGTTGTTAAGGAAGACCCAATACTCGGCGAGCCAATTTCCGCATATGAAGTAAAGTCTGTTATAAAAAGCTTAAAAACCAAGAAAGCCGGTGGTGTTGACAGTTTAACAAACGAACATCTCCTTTACGGTGGAGAAGTTCTGTCCCAAGTACTGGCCTTTTTGTTTAATCTGATTTCTGAAACGCTGTCCACTCCAGCAGTTTTCAAAGATGGCGTTATTTCTAAATTATTCAAAGGGGGCGGAAAACGTCGTTCTCGTGTTGAAAATTATAGGGATATAACCTTACTCCCGGTTATTGAAAAATTATGGGAAAGAATCATTAAAAGTAGAATCCAAATGTTCGAAATACGTAGAGGTTTTCCTATCCTTAAAAGTGTCCAACAAAATGCTTACCAAGAACAGTTGTGTAGCTTAACGTGCAGTTTCAACTTTACAGAGACTCTTTACAACAATTTAGAACTCGGTAGCAAGGTTTTCATAGCGTGCATCGACACGAAACGTGCATTCGATACCGTGTGGCATGACGGGCTTTTCTGGAAGATGTACAGGGCAGGTATCACTGGAAAACTCTTTAGAATCCTCTACGATCTTTTTAAGAACATGAGAGCTAAAATTCAACTTAGTGGGTACTCATCTGAGTGGTTTAAACTACAGCAATCAATAAGACAAGGGGGCGTGCTGTCTGGTTGGTACTATCTAGTCTTCATAGACGAACTGCTCCTACAACTGGAGGAGTCTGGACTTGCGGCGTCAATTGGAAGTCTGTGCACGGGGTGCCCGACCCTTGCAGATGACCTGACTTTAATCGCCATCTCGAAAGGTCATTTACAAACACTTATTGAAATTACCATGAAGTATGCTAACAAATGGAGATTTAAGTTCAACCTTGAAAAAAGTACAATCATGACATTAGGTGAATCTTTACAAACACATTTGAAACTTAAGAAGATTAGAAACTGGGACTTTTCCGGCGGGCAAAGTCTTCAAGAAGTTGACGAAGTAAAACACTTGGGAAACCTTTATAACTCCACACTTTCTGCTGAAGTTAAAGTCAACAAGGCGTGTCAAACTTTACGCTCGAGTTTTGCCAGTTTAGTAGGTGTTGGTGTACACCCCCGTGGACTAAACCCCTTAACAGGAGCTAAACTCGCTCGATGCATTTGTATTCCCACAGCCTTATATGGTGCCGAGCTTTGGTATGAAATGACAAAAACACAAACCCTCCAGCTTGAAAAAGGTTCAGATTCATCGCTAAAACGCTGCAAGACCAATCCAAATGGACAAGAACAGACTTAACCTTAGGAATGCTTGGTCTAAACAACATTGAATCAATGATAGATATTAAAAAATTACTCTTTTTAGGACGCCTTATACATCTGAAGCAAACTCATTTGGCGAAACGTGTGTTTCTTACAAGACTACATTTAAATGAGACGTCCCCTTCCCAGAAGGGGTTTATTCCTGATATTCACAGAATATTAAATAAATACAGTCTAGATTCATTACGCGAATACTTAGTTAGTGGGTATTTTCCGCCACAAAGAATTTGGAAAAACATTGTAAAACATACAATAAATTCAGTACAAAACTCCGAATGGCAAGATAGAACTTCTAATGATGTTAGTTTTAGTCGACTGAGACAAATACAAGATTCAATAGAACCGTGTCCACTTTGGAAACACTCAAAGGTCGTCCCTGGTCTGCTAAAGTTTGCCACCGTAGCCTCAAAACTGTTAACAATCCCGTTAAGTAATGATGAAAACCTGTGTGAGCACTGTGGCGTGCTAACTCCGGATTCGGTTTCACATGGACTGTTGGATTGTTCCAAAACTGAAGATGCTCGCAATGAAATGCTACACAACTTAAGCGATGTCTTGAACCTTAACAGAATTGGGCTTAAGATAGAGTCGTTCAAAAAGGATTTTCGAGAAAACCCCTTTTGTGTGTCAGTGAAAGGCCTCTCCAGCTTATATTTTACAGACAATTCAAAAGTCTTGGCAATTCTCCTACCTTTCTTGTGTACTGTTGTAGAACTTTTAAATATTGATCTTACCACTCCATTTTAGAGTGATGCAAATATTTTTTAGAAATGTGACTTTCCACCACTGTTTGTGATTTTTTTAATATATACTTTATTACTTGTCATTGACATTTTAGATGTGGATTGTTCTTGTTGTTTTGTGTGTTTTTTGTTATTGTCTTAAATTTTTAGATGTGTTTTTATGTCGTTGTTTTTGGTTAATTTTCACTGTTGTGTTAAATGTTTAAATTTTTGTACTCCATGCTAAATGGGAAATAAAGAGATATATATATATATAATTCAAAGATCTGGGAACAACACAACTCATATTTAAATGACTTGTGCATAAAAGTAGGTTAACCGTCAGCCGGCAGTTGAATTCACGAATGCTACTTCAGTGCTGCAATATGGTGTGACGTCTACATGTGACATGTCTATAAACTAATCTAATATTTCTCTTCAGGAACAGTGCCAGTTGTTTTAGACGTGGACCTTCTTACACGACGTCTATTAACAAACAATGTTAGCAGTTCTATGATACAAATTACAGTCCAGACGACAACAAGAACCCATGATGCTCCTTCAAGAGAGTCCATCGGTCCAGTGTAGTTTATGTCATCTGCATCTTTCCAGCTGTCTGTCTGTTGAGCTTTCATTTTCAGAGGAAGTTGGTGACATCTTAAGGAGTTGAGTCCTCTAGTCAAATCATCTTCAGATATCCCCTCCCTTTCGGCAACTGAAATTTTTTAAACAATCCGTGTTGTCATTGGTCTTTTCTATGAAATAAATTGGCAGGTAAATTATGCAAAAATCTTAAGGACTATGTGAACTATAATTTCATAGTTGTCCAGTTTTTTGGACTTCTATTGTACAGGTACATGCCTGAGATTCATTACCAAAGACTATTTACACGGGCTTGGATCGAAAGATTTGTCCACTATGGTAGAGCATGCTTTTTCTCATAAAACTACAAAGAAAACTACAAAATTTCATGTTTAATTGTTATACAATTAAATGTTATATGCATTTTTTGCATTTTTTGTATTTTTTTGGATAAAGAATTATGTTTAATTATTTGTCCAGCTTGGGGTAGAAGTTTAAAAAGCGAAAAACATCAATATTCCTAAATATAATCTTTAACCACTAAACTTAAAGAGGAGATAATGTGTCAAAACCCTTTCCCATGGTCGACAAATATTTCGATCCCAATCCGTGATTATCATATAATCTACGTACTTTCTTTGATAGCCGACTTAAAGGACTCAAACAAAGAGGAACACCAAGCACTATATCCTGACGATGCTATCACTCCTGATATGAATGCAAATATAAGTACAGTACATGAAAATATCAGCATTCCAATATCGACCATCTTGTTCTGCATCATGTCCACAATGAATTTCCGTCTGATTATGCTTATCAAGAGGATGATTCCCAGTATGAGTGGCAGTGCAATGGTTGTAATCGAGTTAATTGCAATTATAAAGTTGCACGTTGCATTACTGCCTTCATTGAACGTTAGTACTCTAATTGGTTCGTCTTCGCCGTAGTCTATGCCTTTCAGCGTCGTGCTTCCATAGAGGACACATATCCCATTTGGATGTAATATCTTCTGATAGAATGCTCCTCTGGCGATTGCCATGGAAATAGCGGCTGTGATACCAAGAATCGCTGATAAAAAATAGAGGATGATGCGAACAATAAGCCATCGCGGGGATGATATACACTCACACAAGCAATCTTCGATCCTCATTATACTGCTGAAAAACACCACGGATGTATAATTAAACATAAGCTATGCTTTCGTGGTCTGTATCTTAAGTGATATAGAATTTTGAAAAGTCTATAATTGTTGAAATAAGGAAAAAATAAAAATCTATACCTGTACCTTCGAGGCTCCAACATTTTGTTACCCAAATGGATCAACAGTGTAATCGAGTGGAGTAACAGTGTTCATGTAATGTATGTTTTGTGAAACTTAAAGCTGATCATGACCATATTCACAACCAAAACATTTAAAAATCATTTGAATATCAAATATGAATTGGTAATACATGTACAATTTTAATTACTATACTCAAACATGCCGATGGATAAGTTGCCAAGGGGATGAGTTGTCCAGGGGATGAGTTGTCTAAGGGATGACTTGTCTAGGGGATGAGTTGTCTACGGGATGACTTGTCTAGGGGATGAGTTGCCTAAAGGTGATGAGTTGTCCAGGGATGAGTTGTCTAGGGGATGAGTTGTCCGGTTACCTATTAAACATACAGTTCATGAAAATCTAATTGAAGCGACGCTTATGTCCGCCATTTGTGACAACGGTATCTGAGTTAACCGTCGTCAGGCTATTCCGGGGTCGTATTATACGTATTGTAACTGTAATGTTTTTAACCTGTTTTTAACCAGTTTATATCCCAAATATTCCACAGAATAAAGTTCAGTTTTTATTTTAGGTGTGGTTTCTTTATTTTCTCAAAACTTGTATACTCTCTAACCCAAAGCTTTTTCATGCATTCTGATTTTAGTTTGAGATTATGCAATGTCCTACTAGTGACATCTATAAATCAATAAATGTTAGTTTCACTGTTCATAACAGTAACATCCAAATGTCTTTTGCGATCGATGTTTGGTTTAAGAAGTATGAGCTATCTGTGTACTATAATGTATTCAAACTCTGTAACTAGACTTATCTGACGTCATTTTTCTGCGTGCACATTGAAGTTCGCGTTCACGTTCAGTTGAAGCTTAACCTCTCTATTATTTAAGAGAATATGTATGTGAACGTCTTATATTATGATTACCAAGGATAACAATCTTTCCAGTTTTTTTAATGACCTCAGTACAACTATTTTCCTTTACACTTTATACTCGTTCAGGTAAATAAATACTGCGAACGAGAGAACTACCCAGGGAACCATACTTGTAATTCTACACGTTCACATAAAAGTTCTCTTAAGAACGTGTAACTTACTCTGCCTTAAAACAGATTCAAAATATTCACCGGGATCACTTTAGTTGTTCAGAAAGCATATTGTGTTTTACATTGATATGAGGTCATCCTTCACGTATACTGCATTTATACAAAAAGTGTTTATACTGATATATCGTCCCATTATTTCCACATAGGATCTCAAAATTGCATTTTCGTTGATATTGAGAAATTAGAGGTTGAAGTTTAGGTCTTCATAACTTTTGAGTAGTAATTTTTAAAAACTTTTCATAATAATCATATGTATGTGTAGGCCTTGCAGAGCAAAACTCACTGATTAAAAATAAATAAAACACATCTTGTTTCCTGTTTTTGAAATATCAAAATAACCCTGAAAACTGATTTTTTATTCACTTCAATTTTGTTATTGTCTCATATACCATTATTCTGCCCATCTAATTATAAAGAATATATGGCTTGTGTTCCATTTTGACTGATAAGGTACTGGATGAGCTTTGTCCATGTTTTTACTTACAGTATCGCATTTTTCTAATAATTATGTTAATTATGTGAAGTATGTCATTTCTCATTGATTTTGAAAATAATAGGGTCTAGTTTTTCAGCATCTGCGAATTATTGCCATTTATACCCCCTGGCTACGTTTATGAGGGGGTACTATGATAATCATCCATAATTTCTGTTATATACCTTCATAAAATTCATATTTGTAGGGATTATGTATCTATATATAATTAGTTGCTATGACAAGTTTGATCATGATTGGTCAAGCCATAACAACACAACATAAGTGCGAAAAATTGTAAATATTTCGGATAAATCCACCAGAACTTTAAAAGACACATGACAAAGTTAAAAAGGCTATAACAGTGTCAGTGATTGATTAAGTTCACTAAATGAACTTTTTTGTTACAAATAATGTTAAATCTGGTTTCTTTTGTTTGTACTACATATATGGTGTCATGATTTATGATCTCCTTTGTTAATTACTTGCAAAGTATACTAGTAAGAGATTGTTCCATTATTTCCACATTGTAATAACTATTAGTCACATGATTAAAATTATGTACCTGATTGGCTCTGTTGCCTACCAAAACAGATATGACAAGGTGGGCCTAATTGGCACTGGATATCTCCAAAAGGAGATGAGATCCATTGAAATGGACCTCAGAAATGAATTCCTCGTGAAAAATTGAGAAAGATAGTGTACTTATCTCAAAACCTGTAAAAAGTGAGATATAACAATGTGGAAATAATGGGACGATATCGATGGAGTATGCACCCTGCTGGTCTGAGTTTTTTTCGTATAGATCCAAATGGATTTAGTATCATTTTTGTTTGATTGTTTTTTTAATGTATATCAACAGAAAATCTTAATTACAAAGACACGCAAATATGTATTTACTTGAAAATCATAAAATCTATTTACAGTGTGTATATTCTGATCAAATATAGTAAAAATAAATTCTTTGTATGTACTTATTCTCGAAAGACATTTTTGGCAAAGTATACCAAAGCAAAGCACATGAGTATATAAATCAGGGTACATTTATGAATATATGTACACTTTAATTCAAACAAAGTATATTTTCATTATTTTCTGATTGACACAAAACATTTTTTCGTTACCGCCAAAGCAGGTATAAGTGTTCGGAATTTTTGAATTTTAATAATTTCAGGTAAAATTCTTTTAAATTTTTTTTTCATATCAATAACATTTTCGTTAATAAATCTCCTCTACCATTCCGCATAGCATGATATGGCTAGTACAACGATACTTTAGGTTGTTATATATCGATTGAAGTCGTGTATGTGTTTCCACGATTTCTTTAATTTGTGTCACAGACCTTTAACATGGAATAGGAATATCAAAATATCCGAAGCCATCTTTATCCAAAGTCATCTCTCTAAAGATGGCTATGTGCAATTAAAGTAAGCAACATACATGGTAACGTTTTGGCATTTGACATAATACATTACAGGGACTAAATTCCGTTAATTCACTCCGTCACAACCGGAGCCCTATCAGAGTTGCAGTCAGGCGGCGACACTCTTGAACGACGAAACGCTACTATTTCTATGATACAAATCACTGTCCAGACGGCGACAAGAATCCACGATGCTACGACAAGGGAATCCATTGGTTTCGTATAGTTGATCACACTGCCAGATTCCCAAGTCCCCCCAATCGGTATATTTTTGATAATGGCCTCACTACAATTAGAAGCTGAAAAAAACATGACACAATGTGTGATACTCAGTTTTCTTTCTTCGGCCAAGTTTTAGTTGGATAAATACTGACGGTAAATCCGTAAATTGTCAAGGAATATAGATGTTTTTTTAAGAACCTATTAATTTATCCATTTAAAGTCAAGTGTTTATGATGAGAATTATGATAAATTAGGTTACCACTATCGCTTGGCCCCGGGTTCGATTCCAGGTTCAGACAAGTTTGCGCTCTGGGTGTTTGACTGAGTGTATTTGGTAATATGAAGCAGGTTCTTAGACAACTTCTAATAAAGTGTAAGATTGCCCAGTTTTTGTACATTTAATAACAGATTCGAGTATTTAATCATTATGGTAGTCTGTTACAATATTCTACCTTTTTGCTTTCCTTCCCTGAGGACATCAAGGAGCGAGGAACACCAAACATTATACCCCGACGTTGCAATCACTCCAGCAGTAAAGGCGGTGACAAGCACAACAATGGAAAATATCAGCATTCCCAATCTTACCACTCTGGTCCGCATTTTGTCCATTATCAATGCCCGTCTTATTATTATCAAGAGAATGATTCCTACTATAAATGGGAGCGCAACGGTTGCAACAGAATTGATAACAATTATAGAGAAACAAATTGCGCTACTGTGTTCATTGTAATCTAGTTTAACATATTTGTCATCTTCTAAACCTCTATACGTAGAGTAACCAAAAAGAACGCAGAGACCGTTTGGATGTAATGTCTCGTGATAAAATGCTCCTTTGGCGACTGCCATGGCAACCGCAGCTATGACACCAAGTATTGCTGATAAAACATAGAGGAAGATACGGACTCCAAGCCATAGCGGGGATGATTCAAACTCAAATAAACAGTCCTCGATGTGCATTTTTATGCTGCAAGCAGATCACAATGATTTCTTTTAACTTCAGATATCCTCCTATTTGAACTTTAGATAAAAGTGTACAAGAAAACTCAACAAACTTGGAAGATTTATTTTTTTCAAGAGAAAATTTACAACTGAATTGCAAAATGAATAAGCAAAATGAATAGGCGCAGTGCATGGCAAAATATTAAGTGTAAGCCTTTCATGGATGAGTTAATCGTTTCTCAAATAATTGCGTGCCATTCATTTTAATTTTACTTGCACTGAGGGAAACTGGAGGAACGCAAATCATAGCAATGAAATTAAGGCTTACCTTCCAATCTTCCGTATCTTCTTGAATCGCTTACTTTTTGAAATGTTGGTGGAGTAAAAATTCCTTTTACAGAGCATGTGATTTCTTTTCAGTCCAGGAGGTGACTAATAGTTGTGTTCCAGTAGCTTATGAATACATGTAGTCAGATAAATACGTTTACACAACTTTTCAGCTCGGTGTTTTCAAGGCAGGTTATAAAGCTTTTACTTGTGTACCGTTTAATGTCTAATTTAAGCATCGTAGAGGTGTAATAAATAACGGGTACGGTCACACCCGGTGATCGTACAAAAATGGTGGAGGGGGGGGATTAGGCGATTTCTGCAAGAAAACTCAACAAATTTGGAAGATTTATTTTTACAAGAGAAAATTTACGAGTGAATTGCCAAATAAATAGGCGCAGTGCATGGCAAAATATGTTAGGTCATCTAGTATTTCTATTCTAGCATTGCTCACTTTTTTAAAAAAGATTATTTTTTGTATAACGCATGGAAACTTACTTAAAAAGGTCTTGTTTTCTGGCGGCCATTTTAATTCAAAAATCAAGGTAAAAGCTTCTCTAGTTCAACTTGTTGAACTCTCGGGGTCTTGAGATTCATGTTCATTCATTCATGTTTTAATAAAAAAAAACTTTCTTATATATACAATGTTTCTAATTCACACAGAAAGTTTATGACCTTCAAATGCAAAATAATTTACCTCGATGGGTCATCTCGATCACCAATACTTTTAAAGGCTTTAAACGGTGTATGAAAGAGGAAATTTCAAATTCTTTAATTTGTTATGGGGAAGGAATGGATGCTTAGTGTGTCGTTAAAGAATGAAGAATACTATTAAAGACAAAATTTTCATTTTACTAGGTACGCTCTACAAATGGGTTGATATAATTTAGTACCCAACATGCCTTAGTTTATGAAAAATCAAAAATCACAAATTCAAAAATAACCGCTAATATCCGCACCTTGCGCCTATAATATCTCCACGCCGTTTGTTTTCGTATAGCACAGTCTGCATAGGATGGAATTATAGCAATTAAATTATTTCTCATGTATTTACGTGCTCTTTACTTGCACCGAGAAAGATCGAAAAACTCATATAATAGCAATTGGTAGAAAATGAAATGAAAAGCTTACCTTTTAATATTAGTACCTTCCTGCAATGTTTTAATGTTGTACAGATTCCGTTTACAGTTTGTATCTTTTTCCACTGTTCACTGTTTCAGTCCAGTAAGCCTAGATGGTTACCAAATTGAGTTCAAGTAGCTTTTGAATCGTCACATTAATTACAAGTTTTCAACAATTTTTTACACAAATTTTCAGCTCAGCTCATTCATATAGATAACAATTACTAGTTGTAATGAATTTATACGTCATTCCTGTCATCATTTAATACCCCCCCCCCCTCAGGCTCATTGGCAGAGTCAAGATTACTGCTATTGCTTGGTCCCGGGTTCGATTCCCGGTTCAGACAAATATGTTTATGCGTTGTGTAATTCTGGGTGTTTGACTTATTGGTCCGAATTTCATACAAGAGCTACTCCAAGGAGGGGATCCTGGCTCTGCCTTCGAGTGTTAAGTACGGAAATACCAATGAGGTATTGTTCGCCAGAATATGGCGGTAGCCAAGATACAATACATTATCCTACACTAACACCCCAGTCACATTTCTTACGGCGACCTTGCGGTCTATCATTTCTGCGGCCAGTAACATTTCTACGCTCGCCGTGGAATTTCTGCGCTCTCATACTTTTGCAGTCACATTTCCCACAGCAGCCTCACGTTGAATTTTAACTTTCTGTTGATAAATAATACTTTTTTCATTTTATTTACATCGGGACAATTTATAAATGTTATTCATAGTGTTAGGATGTAATATCAAATGAAAAGTGATCGTGAAACATTGACAAATAATGGTTCAATCTTGTTGAGCCAGTTGATTTCTACGGCGACCTCAGAAATTAACAATTATTATAACTCCTAGTTATAATGTCTACGGCGACCCTGCGGCCTGTAAAAAACTGGATACGCCGTACGGAGGCCGCAAGGCGAGCGTAGTTTTCCTACGCTCGCCGCAGAAATACACTGATTTACACCCCAGTCACATTTCCTACGGCGACCTTGCGGTCTATCATTTCTGCGGCCAGTAGCTTTTCTACGCTCGCCGCAGAATTTCTGCGCTCTCATACTTTTGCAGTCACATTTCCCACGGCAGCCGCACGGTGAATTTTAAATTTCTGTTGATAAATAATACTTTTTTCATTTTATTTACATCAGGACAATTCATAAATGTTATTCATAGTGCTAGGATGTAATATCAAATGAAAAGTGATCGTGAAACATTGACAAATAATGATTCAATCTTGTTGAGCCAGTTGATTTCTACGGGGACCTCAGAAATGAACAAATATTATAACTTCGAGTTATAATTTCTACGCCTTCCCTGCGGCCTGTAAAAATCTGCATACGCCGTACGGAGGCCGCAAGGCGAGCGTGGTTTTTCTACGCTCGCCGCAGAAATTCACCGATTTAATTGTTCTGCGGTCGACTTGCGGCCGCCGTGCGACAAATGTGACTGGGGTGTTAGTGTACTAAATGTATAATAACATGAAAAAATAAATTTGATATTTATTGGCAAAATGAATATCCGGAGGATATCGTAACGATATACTCCGGGCGGAGGATATCGTGACGATATACATCGGAAAACCCAATATGCGGAGGATATTGTGACGATATACTCCGCTTGTTGATTTCCCACCAAACTGACTCTATTTGGCATGGAATTAATTTTACAATGATATTATACATTCAGTACATTCCTTGTAAGTGTAGGATAATAAGAACATCCTATTATTTTTTTCAGAATATCATTTTAATCTACTCGGTGATATTTATATATGCACTCGTTCGCTTCGCTCTCTCGTGCAGATATCAATATCACCTCGTAGATAAAAATGATATTCCTCAAAATCATAGGATATCCTATAAATATGATGCGATAATATACGATAAAAGACAATACAATACAATAAAATACAATATCATAGAGCAATAAGATAAAGTATGCATTTGTTTATTAATGCTCATCAATCCATCTAGTACAGTAATTCATATCGGACGATTCAAACTTGTTTATTCTTCAAGTTGAAATATATGCAGCAAAATGATCATCATAGTTTTTTAAAGAAACTTGAATTTAAGTGTAATATTACTGCATAATACAAGGAGAAACTTTGCAAGGTGCATAACTTGCAACCAGGATGTAAATAACAGGTAGAATTTTAAAGATAATCTAGTTCATGTAAAATGTATAAAAAGAAAAGATGAACCATATCACATAAATTGCTATAGAAACCTGAATGTAATACAACTTTGACTTCAATAAAGGTGGTGATGACACGTTGAAATTGAAGCAACTGAAACCTTGTGAATCAAGAATGGTATGGTATGAGCCGTAGACCCCTTTTAAACATTTTCCCCTCTTTGTGTTATGGTTGAAAATAAAGGAAGATTATGCTTAACACCCCAGTCACATTTCCTACGGCGACCTTGCGGTCTATCATTTCTGCGGCCAGTAGTTTTTCTAAGCTCGCCGCAGAATTTCTGCGCTCTCATACTTTTGCAGTCACATTTCCCATGGCATCCGCACGGTGAATTTTAAATTTATATTGATAAATAATAGTTTTTTTTAATTTTATTTACATCAGGACAATTTATAAATGTTATTCAAAGTGCAAAGGATGTAATATCAAATGAAAAGTGATCTTGAAACATTGACAAATAATGATTCAATCTTGTTGAGCCAATTGATTTCTACGGGGACCTCAGAAATGAAAAATATTATAACTGCGAGTTATAATTTCTACGCCTTCCCTGCGGCCTGTAAAAATCTGCATACGCCGTACGGAGGCCGCAAGGCGAGCGTAGTTTTTCTACGCTCGCCGCTGAAATCCACCGATTTAATTGTTCTGCGGTCGACTTGCGGCCGCCGTGCGACAAATGTGACTGGGGTGTAACCCTTTCATTATCCGTCCATGCCATTTCTCTGATTTATATTGATTGAGTCTGGAGTCATGGTCATTGATAATTTCGATCTTCAACGGTTCGGTCTTTCTTAAATCTAAGCTTGTATTCGCGATTCAATTTTCGGCTGTTGATTGTCTCCATGATAAAGTTCTTATTTTATGGGCAACTTGTTTAAATATGAATAGTACCTACCACTATTCCATTCATCTTTAAATGAGTTTGTCATAAAATAGAAGATTAATCCGGTAGTCGACAGCCAAAAGTTGCATTCGTAAATACAAGCTAAGAAAAGGCGGCGTTTATTTATACGTACAGTTTGTGCCAGTTTGACATTGAGGCACTACATTTACTTTACCTTCTCATAAATATTTTATGTGTTTTCTTCGTCAAAATTTACGCCTTAGCCCTTATGTGGATAACAATTATTTAACACTAATGGATAGGGGGGGGGGGGGTTAGATGACACCTGGCGTTTCAAAAGTTGAAGAGGTACAGTATAAACTACAGTAAGGTGTATTATATGTCTTTCAAAACTTTCGAGGACGTTCTCAAAAAGAAGGTCAAATGAGGTCAAAAGAAGGTCAAAGTAACATGGTGGGGGAGAGACTTTTTGATGTATTTTTGCTTTTTCAATAAAAAACAACATATAATATTTTGTCAACCACATATGTGAGTGATAGATGTAATACATATATACATATAGGATCCACCTTTTTTTGTTGGTGAATACCTTTCTTAGATCTGGAGATAATTTATTCGAAAACTTGAAGAAATGAAGTATCAAAAATGGGGGAAGGGGTCACAAAACACAATGTAGGGTCTAGAATACTGACTAAATCATAATTTTGCAAAAGTAACATGCTCGAAAATACCTCTAACTATAATGAAGTTTTAAAATGTTGGACATTGATTGAGTATTGGCAGAGAAAACCCCGTTTTTGAACTTACAGTTATTTACTGAAAACTAATATATATTCAATAGCAAATATTTTTGAAGAATGTAATACTTATTTAATCATGGCGCACAATAAAAGTCGTAATGGCCGCACGAATACTCTCAATTGGTACTGACGATAAAAGTGACAGATGACAAATAGTATTGTATTACATATGGAATGAAACATTCGATCACCGTTCCGCTGTTTTTATCATTAATGACGAGAATCATGAATGTTTTGAGAAATGAAAACAGTTTAGATGAACTTGTGAATCATTATAAACTTTGATTTGTTTTTGAGAAATCAATGTTTTATTATTTTATTCAAGAATGCTGCCAAATCCTTTTTAGACACACGATTTGAAACTTGTGGTAGGCTAATCCTCTCGTCTTTCTGGCAAATACACTCCCCTCCAAAAGTTTGGCAACCTAAGCTCCCTGCCTCCTCTTTATATTGGAATTTTTATTTACATAACCTGCGGGGTAAATACTTATAATATTGATCAAAATGTAACTTGATTTCATTTCCAATGCCTCCAAATTTTCCCAATTTTTTTGCTTCTTTTGTTGAATTTTTTAATCCGTTGGTGATTATCTGTGGATCAGTTTTTTAGAAAATAAAAAGTGATTATCAGGAAGCAATGCATATTGGTACACCACGTGATTTTTTTATATTTTTTATTAAGAACTTTTTCCCTTAACTGTGAAAATGTTATACGAGGGGTGATCAATAAGTAATGGACGCTTTTTTACACATATGCTTTTTATGGACCAATCCCTTTGATTTTCCTACAAGTGATACATCATTCAATTATCTATCAATTCTTAAGATTTGAAGACAAAATACATAATACATGTTAATATATCCTTATTTCCGTGAAGGTGGTATAGGTACCCCGGGACCGACATTTATGTCACATATTCAGTTTTTAGCCAGTTTGGCAAATTTCAGTTAGATCTGAACTTTTTTTTTATACGCAACAAGTGTTACGTTGTTTGAAATATTTTGCAGACTGGTAACACACAAACAGTAAGTATTGTGATGTCAGAGTGTTGTATGGTCGGGGTTTGCAGGAATTTGAGGAAACATTGTGGAAGAATGAGTTGGTGAGAGAAGGGAACACCCTACTCCATTTTGACAATGCACCTGCCCACAGATCTCAAAATGTCCAGAAAACAATATCCCTGGACCTCAAAATTGAGCCCTTGGCCAATGCACCATATTGTCCAGATCTGCCCACATGTGACTTATTTATTCTTTTAGTACTTATTTCTATAAAGAAGGGACGTAGCTTTATTGACATTGATGAAATAAAACAACCCGTACAACTGCATCTTGCTACCATGTCAGAGAATGGATTCAGCCTTGTCTCACAATCTTGAGTTAGAGGATGAGGAATTGTGTACATGTAACACTTGATGGAACCTATATATGTAGAGGGCCCTGTAGAATGAATGTGGCATGAATATACCACAAAGTGATGATAAAATATTCAAAATCAACTGTGGCATAACAAAATGGGGTAATTCATGACCATAATGGTTTATTTTGTTCAACCTGCATTCAACTGCGTTGCATGTTAAACAAGCTAAAATAGCTTCAGAATGTTTGACGTAAATGTCGGTCCAGGGGAACCTATACCTCCTTCACGGAAATAAAGATATAGCGAAATATATTACATGTCTTGTTTTCAAATCTTCAGAGTTGATAGATAATTGAACGATGTATCACTTGTGAGAAAATCGAAGGTATTGGTCCATGAAAAGTATCTGTGTAAAAAAGCGTCCATTACTTATTGATCACCCCTCGTATTCATTCGAAATAATAAATCTAGACTTATTTGATATAATCCTCCTTACGCCTTTGCTTTCCTCAGCAAAAGATGACTGCATCTGGCCTTTTTATTGGACAGAACTTTCCACTGCACGTAATGTATGTACCTTTTACACTTGTATCTAATACACACAGACATACTCACCTAATTGCCTCCCTTAATCCATTTATTTGCTTAACATATTATAATTAATGACATAAACGCGATCAACTAAAGTTTGATATTCTTGAAAATAGAGTAAATACTAAATACACTGAAACAGCAACAGTTTAATCTTAAAATGATCTCCGAGATGAACGTGCATCTGAAAAAAGCAAAACGGAATTTTCGCAATCGTTTTATCTTTCCTTAAAAAGTGATGGATAATAAATACCCATTCGATCAAATACTTGTGTTTATAAATGATACACATTCCTTAATCCATAGAATTTTCTCAAGATCTGCTTGGGTACGAACCATTGGATTTCTATGGGAAATCCCTCAAAGGGAAAATTCCAGGGATAAAGGAATGTGTACCATTTTACAATCTAAAAATGAAAAATTTCACGAAAAGGGGTCTCCTATATGTCTGCTTCTATTCTATGTCTCGCGATAGTAGAAACAATTTATCATGTTACAGAATTTCTACATGACATACACTGATACAAGCTTGTTTATAAGGGGTCAAAAATGAGGTTATTCAAAAACATTTTAGACATGATTATTTTAATTTTTGGACTGTTTAACGCTTTTTACAGGATATGATTACGGGCAAAAATGCCCCTAAAGCCTTCGTAAGATTGTTTGCAATATTGAAGTCTAATTATTAATTATTGAGACCTCTTAAATAGGATTCAATGCTACATCCCTTAACTACATAATCATAAAATCTGATTTCGTAAACAAATGTTCTTTATTACATAAATCCAGTTACTAAGAATAATTAGCAGTATATATTGAAATAAGGTTTGCAGACTTTAATAATTTTTTATACACGTCAGATGGATGGGATTGATGTCTGTCAGGTGGATGGGATTGGGATTTGGAATTGAGCTCCATCACTTAGAAAATGTCTCCTATTCATAACAAAATATCAGTTTTGCACATTCATATGCTACAATGTAGTGTTCGCCTATTTTGTATTGAGCCAGTCAGCTATTGTGCGTGAATACAGGTTGTGTTATATTAGAGATTTTACATCCCTAGACTTTCCAGATACTCTGCAATTACGCCCACCCCTTTGTTTGTGTTTCCTTGTTGCTGTCCCTCCGCCGTGTGTCCTATCACTATAGCTGAAAAAGTACGTTTTTAGAATCAAAAAATTATCTTTATTGTTATTTAAGATGGGCCGACACATTTTCAAAATAAGGGCCGAATTTGGGTTTTTAGGGCGCGATTTTTTCTGACTTGAAAAGTGATCCCCGTTGTTCGCTTCTAGATGCGCCATTGAGTCCTTAGGGGTCAATATGCACATCTTATAAAATCTCAATAGAACGAGACTTTAGCTTTATTTCCGAGCCGTATAGCAAATGTTATAAAACCGTACTGAACAAAACAAGCGGAAACTTATTTCACTTTTATAATTAAGATGTGATAACTTTTATAATTTTGTTTGCAAAAATATGAATATAAGTATTTGAATGATGGGAATGAGTAACCATATAACCGGTTGCACAGGTAAATATTCCTTTTCTAACTGTGTTGGATTCATTAATTTTTTAACTTGAACTTCCGATCTTACATATTTGTTTACTTGGCCTATTATATTGATATTCATATATTAAAGACTTACCCTTTTTACTACTTTGAAAAGTAATAGCCCCATTGTCTTTCTTCTTTCCTAAAACTAAAGTGTCTTCTCCCCTGAGAAACTGGTATTTAATACCTTCAACAAGGATCCCACTTGTTTGGAAAGGTGTAAAATCCTTGCTCGTCATTGCTTGACCAATGGTGGCTGCCTCACTAGCTTGTATTTTCAAAGCCTTAAAATGAAAAATAGTAAATCAATTTTGTTTTTGTATAATTAGATCAAATACATACATTTCAATTTCGTTGATGCAGGCGTCTCTATTACTGATTAACCTGCAGACACGTGTGGCCTTTTTGCAAATGCTTTGAAAGGTTAATGCAATGGGAAGACACAATCAATTGATCCTTCCGCTTGACTGTACAAATAGATGGCATTTTAAAAGCAAGAATATAGTCCATTTATTGTAATTACACCAGCATCACCGGCGGTTTGATTTTGGTTAAGTCCATGAATGAATACCTGTAGGTGTATGTAAGGGCCAACTCTTACACATGATTTGATATGATAAAGATGCATTTTCTTTGTCCTTTTTGACCTCCCCAATCTGTCAAAATCAGAATGACAATCTTTTACAGTTTCTAAAGATGGCTGACATGACTGAGCTAACAGGTCCAAAACCTAATCAGATGTAGAATGAAGTGAGCTGAACAAGATATTAAAGTTTTAAAAGCAACTGTGAAGCCGTTTTTCTTGAAGTTTGCAGACAAGGATTTTAGCATTAGACTTCAAAATGGCCGACAGGAAGTAGGTATCGAGTTCAATTTTTTTCATCCAAATCTGTATGCACTCATAAGTTATCCCTGAAAATTTGAAGGTGATATCTGTAGCGGTTTAGGGGAAAACTGCCGGACGTACGGACATCTTGTAATATATAGATACAGACGGACAGACAGACGGACAGACAGACAGACGGACAGACAGATGGACGGACGCGCCTAGGCCGACAATATGGCCCCACACTATGTGGTGGGGACATAAAAAGGAAGAAGTGCGCTCTTCATTATGATCTCCCCATGAAAAAATTGTTCATCTGATTTTTCAAAATGAGTTTACCGCTTTTATTATTACATTTATATGCACACTAGTATCTTGTTGACCTATATTGAGCACTGTATTGATGTATGGGCCACTTATTAGGGTCATAATTCAATCATGAAGTGTAGAGGCATGGATTCCAAACCAGGAAGTATTTTTGTGTCTGTCAAAATCCATTTGCATCCTACGCATCCCTACATCTTATCCTAATATGTTATTAATTAATTAACATAACAGTATAATCTTTGGATTTACAAAGTTGTTTGGCATTTTATAAGTGTAAATGTTGCTTTTGAAGCATTTTTCTAAAGCAATTTTGTAGAAAAAATGATGAAAAATGTATAATATTTTAATTTGAAGTATGACCTGAATCGATTGCAAACTTCATATTTGCACATTTGATGTGATATACCATTTGTGTCATATTGTGAAATTATTCAATTTGCAATCGATTCAGGTCATAGTGTATTTTAGGTATTTTTGTGAAAATCAATAGAAACCAATGGCTCCATTGGAATCTGATGATATCCATATGATAAGTCAATGGAGCACATTCAATGTCAAGTCAATACTATACACCCTTGCTGAACTTAATGACCTCAACCTCAGCCCATGTGGGTCTAAATGCTTAAATATTTTCCAAAGTATTATGTGACATTGTATTCTTAATGTTTAACCTAAAAATGATTCATTTTGTTCATGGGGAAATCATAATGAAGAGTGCACTAGATCCTTTCGACATTTCGACGTTTTCATTGTTGTAGAATATCGACTTTCGATCCTGGGAGCCAATCCTCATTGGTTTCGAATATTAATTTCTGTGATTATTCACTGTAAATTACCAAATCACGATTGCAACCCAGCTAAGTCGATCGGAAGTATGGTGGACTCCTTTTTAATGAGCCAACCAGGGTATACGTTTCTTCACCGGCTGACCATGGGCTCGCTTGTATACTTAACAGGATTATGAATATATACTATGGGGAAGATGTTTTTGAGAAGACTGAAGCTGAACAAGAACTCAGAGCGTATGGCCTCTATCCATGTTTCACTGTTCGTAACGTAATTCAATATTTGATAATTCAATATGATTTTCTCAAAATGGACGAAAATAAATATTATGTAATTATATGTTTTGGAGAAACTTTTTGAGAATTTTAGAAAATCGAAAATGTGGCCATTTCGATTACGATCTTCAAAAATAATAGCATTTCTGAGAAGCTTTAAAATTCAAGAGGCCACACAAATTGTTAGCCAAACACGTGCAGTCCAAAACTGTGGTCCTTCCAATGCTAACTTTAGAGTTTTGATGGACTTTTTTGTCACGTACCCCGCACTGTACTGTACTTACTTTATCATGACCATCAGTCGTCCATTTAGATCCATCTAAACCGATTATACAAGCTTTGTCACAGTTACCGGCAGTATGACCAATCAAATTATCGATGTAACTATCCCAACTCATTTTGGCAATCTGAAAAGTAGATTTAATAATTTCGGTAGTTGATTAGGTTAATTAATTAATCAGAACTAGTCAGTGCCTGGATTTTACTCTATTCGTACAAAGCCATCTTAACGAGGCGTATAGCCTTTTTGTTTTTTCGATGAAAAAAATTGAAATACTCTTGGACCAAGGATGATATAAACTGACACCAATCAAGGATAATACGCCAATTAAGGCACTGCTCATTTTGAACGGCTTTATTCAGTCATCTTGAACATGGGCACATATTATGTAAACGAGCTCGATGAGCTTCGTACATGTCCTTGAAACTGAGCCAAAATTGTAAATACACAAGTCCCAGTCATAAAGGTTTCTGAGCAAATGTTGTCGTTTTGTACATTGAATTGGGAGTTTAAGCTGGCATGTAAAATCGAAACGCCAACCTATACGTATGACCAATCGGCAATACAAATGCATCGCTGAAATATTTTCCGTTCACGTTTAGCATGTGAAAAACATTGCAAGCTTAAACTCCCTATTATATTTATAGCCGCGTTAATAGTAATATCTTGCAAGATACTTGAATCAAGGTAGAGTTGTGTGGAGGCAGATGGATCATTGATAACACCTACAGGCTGACCAAAAATGTTGGTCCCAAACTTTCTCAAATAAATTCCTTATTGTTTGGATGGGTTCCAAAATATTGACCCAAATGTTTTGTCAAATAATTGTTTTAATATCCATGATTAGCCCATTTATTTTGGACAGATATCACAGTCAGTATGTAGTTATGATTCAGGGCAAGCCAAAATCATGATCTCTACTTTCTTCTCAATTGCGACTTGTAATGCTCTACTGCAAAGCCGCAACATGTGTATGTAATAGTTCTATTTTACCATGAAATAAATCAAATATAAAAAAACTTTCTTCTCTCCTAGTTCAATAACGTGAAAATTTTCCATTTGTAATTTAGTAAATTTTACCATATCAAATATGAATATAATCCTAACCCTGTTCCAATATGCTTTTCCACACATATAATACAGATAAAACATATGAAAATTCAATTGATATCATTCAATGATTCGCTATACATTTATCGCGGCTTATTTTTGTGTTACTCTGTAATAAAACTCAACTTAATACATGCAGATTTAATACTCAAACTATATTTCACTTATGTATGAAAATGTAATTTTAGCATGCATATCGACAAAATTACTATATATAAATATATAGATAAGATACCTTTACAGAAAAACTTAGATTAAACTTAGATAAAAAAAATACTTACATTAATATCGTTCGACAAATGATTTTTTCTTTCCGATTAGCTCCACCCAATATCAAACATGAAACTGATGCCCAAACTACTTTGTATGCGTATGTATACTTATAATCGAACATAATAAGTCACCGATGCATTTAAATACAAGTAATACCTTAGGAAATCATATGTCCCACTGATATAATTAAGCATGTGATATTGTTAAACTGCGGGCTTGGCTACGTGTATCTTACTATCTTTATAATTATACACCACTATGGCAAATTACCAGCATGGGCATACTAGTATAATTGCAGATGATGCGGGGAAAACATCAAGTTTTAAAAATAGATTAGTTGAACTACACGACAGGAAGTGTTTACCCAATCAACCAAAAATGCAAATGAATACTATACCCCAACAGGGGCGTAGCCAGCTTTCAGTCAGGGGAGGGGTACGATCGCCGAAAAATTTATGTTTTCAGTCAGGGGGTGCGATTGTGGCATAAACAAGCCAAAAAAAGATTGATTTATTTAATTTTACAAAAATTGATGCAACTTCCTTCAAAGTTGAGCTAGAAGCTTCAAATAAAAAGCATTTTAAAACTCCTTTCTTTTTTAAGAATGCACCCATCGCACCCCCCCCCCCCCTCCCTGGCTACGCCTATGACCAAGTGTACACATAAATTTATTTTCTTATGTTACAGTCATCCTTGATCCAAGGGTATTTCACTTCTTTCCGTGAATTGAGTAATAAATGAAGTCCTCTGAATGAAGGATGGGTTTCTATGGCAAGGTTTCAGTTATAAATTACGTCAATATTAGCGTGCAAACTTTGGGAAGACGTTGTCATTTCTGGATTCCAAAACGTCCAGACACACATAAAGGTACTTGCATGTTCCTGATTAGACATCGTCATACGGAATCGTAATTTTATTAAGTGGCTCCAGAAAACAAGTTTATGGAGTTTATGGGCTCCCTTAACAAGCTAGATTCATACGGATAATCCGTGTATATCCGAAGATAACCGATGGATAGGACTCATACGATATCATGCAGTGTCGTGTAATTGAGATGAAAAAACTGTTGACATGTTTTGCCAAAAATGAAACGTATGAGGTTTCCGTTTGCCAGGACCAAATCCTAGTATTACTTGCTCCATTGGCAGATGGATTTTTAACCATTACACTGTAATGGCAATAGTGAAACAAGTGATACAGGTAGTACATGTTATATCATTCGTATACTATTTCTTGGAAAGCTTGAAAATAATTTAACCATTCTAAATTTTGGATATTCTCATTTTGAAACCAGAGGGATGAAGTTGTGATGTATTCCTTTATTGGGATCAATTAGTAAAGGCAACCATGGGCTTTCAACTAGACTAGATTTCAACTTTCTAATTGAAAGCCCATGAGGCAACCAATGTAAATATCCGGAAGCTCTTTGCGTCCATTTCCAGAAAATTGTACAAATGCAGGCCCGTAGCCAGCTTTTGCTTTACAAAAGAATCCAGGGGTTTACTTTAACTTTGGCTTACATTCACATGACAAATGCTCAAAAATGGTGAAAATATTTTTTGGCTATGAGGGGGGGGTCGTATATGTATACGTTTCTCTGGCATAACATCACTATGGAGTTTTTTTTACATTTCATCTTCACCCTGCGTATATTTTGGAACCAACAAAAAGTTCTAAAAACAAGACCAATGTCCCGTTAAGAACCCCTATTCTAATGCTATGAAACGTGAATCTACTTGTTGGATTCGATCAACTTGATTCTTCTGAGAAAGTGTGGATTTCAGCAAGGGTGTATTGGCTCAACATGGGGATACAATTGACTTTCAACCTGCATATCATCATACACAATGCTGAGGTATTTCGTTTTGCTTCAAGACTGTGGTGGACTCCCCCTCCCCTACTTCATTAACACAACACCATCAAGATCACCGGAAGTGGAAATAGTTTGAATCGTTAAAAAGAGCCAGTCAAGATTGATTGTTGTTCTTAGCCAATAAGTAATTTAATATACATCTCAAAAGTATAATCAATACAAGACCGTGTAGCTAGTTGGGTAGTTGGGTCACAAGGGGTTGTATCTAAACTATGAAGTATTGACAAGAGAACACAATTACATGATTAAGACCTTGATCGACCTTAGCGTCGCGAACAAAACCACACACCGACTCTGGATAAGTTTGGCAAATGGAACCTCCCATCTTGATCGCAAGTTAAAGCTATTTATAATTATATTTTTTGCGACCAAGTCTAATCTAAATTTAATATTTCTGTCATGCATCTGACTTTTTTGCCTGAAAGAGATTGGTAAACAATTGTTTTGGAAAATTTCTAGGTCTCTTTATGCAATTATATTAATGTTGTGTTGAGTTTAAAGATATTCTCTTTAACATTGAATGAGAGGTAGCCCTTCAACTTCGATCTAGTCTTAATAAATCAGAAATTTCGATCAAATCAAGCTACTCAAATCAGTTTCATTCTAATACTCATCACATATTTCTGCCTTTGAAACTTCTGTTCGAAGTTTTGGCGGCTAATTTTGGGGCATTATAATGGCATCTTGTCAGTATTTAAACTAGTCGTGTATTTGTCCTATTAAGAGCCATGTGTCAAGAGTTGAATATCTTGAAATGAGACACAAAAATGGCCACTTTATTTTTGTGATGTATAGGTACTTCTCTTTGGAAAAATCAAATACTTTATTCTTTCCACCACTGCTACTTCCTTTTTAATCACTTCTCACATGAAAAGTCTGAAGCTGTTCAAGTAGCATATGTTAGTGTACTGAGACCCGACTGAGACGTGTCATTTGCAAACTGAAATTTACAAATTGCATCATTGCTGTCTGGTTGTCGGTCAATGACGTTCCAGAATATTTGAGCGACACGTGACGGTCGTTTTGTGGTCTTGTCGATTATTCTCTCACACAAAGGGTAGCCATTACAAGAGCAATCGTTGTAATGCTGCCCAATACAACATAGGTGTCGTTATTGTGCTGTCTGATCGTCGGCCAATGACTCGAGTCCTTCGATGGCGAATTTTACTGAATATACGTTCAAGAATATTTTGAGCGACACGTGAGGGATGTTTTGTTGTATCGTCGATTGTTTTCTCACACAAAGGGTAGCCATTACAAGAGCAATCGTTGTAATGCTGTCCAAGACAACATAGGTATCCCCTCTGTAAAATATGTAGATTGCAACTTGCTTTGTCTTCCATTTGCGTTCTATCATTTTCCAGCACCTGCGATTGACTCAAAACTTCCTTGTTTGATCGGTGGTCGTTTGACTGTATTTCAGCGATTTTTTCATCGTCCAGTCGATGGTTTTGCCTCGAATTGTTACCTTTTGGTGCGATTAGACTCGGTTTCAAACCAGTTATGTAGCCTGAACAAAACGCTATCCCAACACATGTGCAGTCGATCGGATTGTCGGAAGGATCGCAGCATAATGCTTTTTCTTTATTATCCATACTTGTCATTCCATTGCTTCGTTCTCTGATTTTAGGTTCTACGCGAAACAAGCAACTCTTGAGTCCAGAGACGTCATTTATAGTTCGATTTATAGGTTTAAATCTGTGGGTCCCGCTGGACACTTGGGCCGCAAGTACCACGAAGAAGATTGTGCTTTGACGCATGTTTGTGTTCCGATGCTAAGGCTGTTCTTCCTTCGAGGTGAACGTGTTAAAAAACGTCAGCAGAATGGTAGTGTAACTTGCGACTTGGAGACTAGCATTATCATTTAGATCTAGGTAGCTCATATAAGAACAGATTAGAACGGCACATAATACCACGTTGATGATGTCAGCTAAAGCTTACGTTACAAAGCAATTAACGTTGACTGATGATCAAGATTTGAATGGGCTTGGAGAATGTAATAACGGTATCATATGGCATTTTTCAAAGAGCTGACGTTGACGTTCTAATGATCAATTGTAATTCTAAAGTTTAATACATCAAAGCTTGTCGAGTTTGTAACATCTTATTCAAACGCCTACCTATGGGTCCTTGTACCATTGTGTTAGAAGTGGTATGATAATTCCAGTTTAATCAAGTTTAAATTCTGTAGCATCGACTTAGTATTTTAATACTTAAACATCACATCCCTTCGTGCCCACATTTGCTCCGATCTTCAACAAGGCGCCCGGCCGATGAGTATTTTTCCAAAATCGCAAATGAATTCAATTTTAAACAAATTACTCATCGGCCGAGCGACGTAATGAAGATCGGAGAAAATGGGACCACAGCATTACTAGTGTAACATATTTACTCTCATGCTTGGTTTGTGTAAAGTTGAAGTGGCAATTTCGAAAAATACGCCAACGTGACAATTTTTCCTTTTGATCATTTAAACGGATTCGGCATGTTACTGTATTCCGTTCTACATGTATATGATCAGCTCCTTATTTCATCATGGGGTTTATTTCAGTTTCGAAAACGGGTGTCTTTAACTTAAAAATGATTTATCACATACTTAATCTAAGGTTAGAAAATTGATAACAATACTTCAAAAGTCATTAAAACGACAAAATGTCTTCATCGAGTGTTACGAAGATTGTTGCGGGCGCCGATCGACGCCTTTAATTTACGGTGGGAAACGACGTCTCACGCAGTCAACATTGTATTTGAAATATTCGACCGTATACAGTATAAGAAATGACAATGTTTATACTACAATTGATAACAGTTAACACGTTTTGACAATGAAGTCGCTGTACTTAGAGATAACAGATGACTAACCAAGTTAAAATAGAAAAAATATGACGATGAAAATACTTGTAAACCAACGATAAAGAATTTTAACAAAGGCTTTAGATCCAATAACATTGAACACGCAACGACATACTTATGCATATTCTAGTCAACGTAAAGGATAGAGGTCCATGATTTACCAAGGCACAAAGTTACGGGAAAACCTATATACTTGTAAATTCAATGAAGATTTATTAAAACTGAAACGTGACATTACTTCGGTCGGATAATGTCGGGGTGTTGCAAGACAAAAATATATGTCACGATAGCTCTGTCGATTTCAGTGCTAGCGATAATCGCTGATTGCGTTGGAGACTGGATTCACACGACTACACTAGACGAAAAGACGAAGGATTACATCCGAATATTACATCTTGTATTTACCATAGTAGGGACGTGCACTTCCCTCATGCAGATTGCTAACATTATAATCCATCTGTGCAATATACATTGTAGGCCTGATGATGATCAAATACGATCTATTCCTCTCCCCGTGGAACTTTTCTTGGTGATTTATTTGGCCGAGATCCCGCAATCAAGCATCGCGTTACACACGTTAATAACGCAAAGAGGGAGCGCTCAATTTGCAGAAATTGCTTCATCGGCCATTGCAGAAACGATATTGGACTTCCTGTCACCTTTTCTGAGAATTATCTTGCTTCCATATCTTTTGTTCTCGTTCCAGGAGAGAAGGTGTAGAGGATGTTGTCTGTCTTTGAAGATTTTAGATGTATTAGGACTTGTAGCATTGTTTATATTGGCAATAACTACCATTCTGCTTAGGAGTACCTAGTTTGGCAACAACACTTGAAGAATTTACTCTATGTACTTAAAATATACATTTGAAACATACCTCAAAACATTGAGACAATATCCCTTTTCACATTTCTGGTGAATCAAGGATGGCGAATATCTCAGGCCTGTCAACTTGGGAACACCTAACATGAGTGACTTGGAAATGTTGAACACCTCCCCTCAAAATGTGGACACCTTGGTCCAAATCTGATCACCTTGATCCAAATTTTGAACACCTTGGTTTAAATTTTATTACATCTTGCCAAATTTTGAACACCTCAAATTTTTCGCGCTCGCTACGCTCGCCTTTCAAACATCCGTCAACTGGGGGGGGGGGGGGACCAAAAATTTCGAACGGAATGCGTGACATGTCCGTAATTCGCGTGAAAAGTCCGAACGAAATGCGTACGTTTTTTCCCGTCGTTCGTATTTTTGCTGTGTAGACGATCTTTTTTAGAAAATTTTCTACAGAAATATTTTTGCTTGACAATTACCAGCTAAAATGCGTATTTGCGTGACATTTTCTGTCACGCAAAAATAACTGGCGTGACTTCAAATTCTTCAGCAAATGCGTGACAAATACGCAAATTGCGGGACAGTTGACAGGCCTGATATCTGTAGCAAGCATAGGCTAGCTTCTTTAGATTTGTAGTACTGGAAACAAACAAATGTACTTTCAACGAAAGAATTAAAGTTTTAACATGAAAAATGTTTGGAAAATTGAAAACAAGGAAATGTTTCAACATCTCTTCTCAACAGGCATCCATCATTCTTTCATGATATTCTGGCATGGACAATATTAAATTTGGTAATACTATCATTATCATGTTCATCTCCAGGCAAAGCATTTGTGTGGTAGAAATAGAAGACAAATGACCTGTATCTTATTTTATTTCGCTCCACAGCGTTTCCTCGTGAACGAAACGCTCCGTCATGCATGTAAGAGCGTTTGGATCGGACACCGTGTACAGTTTACACGTAACTACTCGTAAATGTGATGGATTTTGAATATAAGAAAAGCGAAAAAATGTCAAAATTCAACTTACTGTTATCCTCCGTTTTTAATGTCACGTGACATTTCCAAAGAAAGCTTGTAGGACCATGCAAATAATTATGAGAGCTACTGATTTCAGTCTGGGCGTCATAATATTAATATTGTTATGTCACTTTAAATTTCTCTTAAAATGTGTAGCTTAACTTCACTATAATCGATTTAATTGATTCAATCTAAATAGTCTATTTATTTGAGTCATTTGTAAGACTAACTGCACGTCCTACGTTAACAAATGAAAATATTACATTTTCATCATTTTATGCACTTACCAGTCATTATTAAAAATTATTTGCGACGTGATCAGACTGCTGCGAACTTAATATTAGTGTAACATACACATCAACAGTGCAATGCTTTATAATATTATAAACTTGCAGTCCTGTCAAGCCATTCTAAAAATTGATAAGATTTTGTTATTATATAAAGAATTGAATTATGGCTCTCAAAATTACCATTTTTTGTCAATTTGAATATCTTGGCATTGTCTTAATAACAGCTTTTTGGTTGATAAGCAACAATAAGAACATGAATAGCAAAAACGAATCTCAACGTCTTGGTATTTTGATACATATACGAGGGGTGATCAATAAGTAATGGACGCTTTTTTACACAGATACTTTTTATAGACCAATCCCTTTGATTTTCCTACCAGTGATACATCATTCAATTATCTATCAATTCTGAAAATTTGAAGACAAAATGTATAATACATGTTGATATATCCTTATTTCCGTGAAGGAGGTACAGGTACCCCGGGACCGACATTTACGTCACATATTCTGTTTTTAGCCAGTTTGGTATATTTCAGTTAGATTTGAACTTTTTATATGCAACAAGTGTTGTGTTATTTGAATTTTTTTGCTGACTGGTAACACATAAACAGAAAGTATTGTGATGCCAGAGTGTTGTATGGAAGGGGTTTGCAGGCTAATTTGAGAAAGCATTGTGGAAGAAAGGGGTGGTGAGAGAAGGGAACACCCTATTCCATATGGACAATGCACATGCCCACAGATCTCAAAATGTTCAGAAAACAATATCCCTGGACCTCAAAATTGATCCCTTGGTCAATGAACCATATTGTCCAGATCTGCTCACATGTGACTTGTTTATTTCTATACGACTTGTTTATATAGAAAAAGGACGCAGGTTTATTGACATTGATGGAATAAAACAACCCGTGCAACTGCATCTTGCTACCATGTCAGAGAATGGATTCAGCCTTGTCTCACAATCTTGAGTTAAGAGGATGAGGAATTGTGTACTCGTAGCACTTGATGGAACCTATTTAGAGGGCCCTGTGGAATGAATGTGGCATGAATACCACAAAGTGATGATAAAATATTCAAAATCAACTATGGCATAACAAAATTGGGTCATTCATGACCATAATGGTTTGTTTTGTTCAGCCTGCATTCAACTGCATTGCATTGCAAATGCTAAAATAGCTTCAGAATATGTGACGTAAATGTCAGTCCCGGGGTACCTGTACCTCCTTCACGGAAATAAGGATATATCAACATGTATCATATATTTTGTCTTCAAATCTTCAGAGTTGATAGATCATTGAATGATGTATCATTGGAAGGAGAATGGAAGGGATTGGTCAATAAAGAGCATCTGTGTAAAAAAGCGTCCATTACTTATTGATCACCCCTCGTATTTAAACATGTATAGTTTCGGAATCCATGTTTTTGAGGTTGGTTTTATATTTTCATTAGACTACTTTGGTAAAGCTATCAATATTCTTGGTCAATGGTCACTTCCTAATATAATTGGTAGCAACTTGCATGTTTCATTAGTAAAACGGAACTACAGTATTAAATTCTGAACTGTAGCAAGCGCTGATAGAATTCAGCAAGATATAATTTTCAGAATTTCAGAAAATGTTTTGTATTTCCCCTTTTGGCAGTTGTTTAAAACATATCACTGAATGCATGACTTGTACATGCCCATGGCTTTGCACATTCAAAGTTACCAACCCTATAGTATAAAAAAAAACTAGCAATACGATTATTTTATTATCATATAATGCTCTTCATAATTGTACACGATTCATTGAATGTAAACCTATAATATTGTATTTTATCTCTTCATGGGGTTGTCTCTATTGTGTACGTGAATGGATATGTATACAATAAAAGACGAATTGAACAATGTGTTCAAATTGTGGACTTATTGTTATTAGACATAAAACTATTTTATGTATTTCTGATTTCGTGATGTCTGCAGATGCCTTGATCATTTAATTACGACAATTAAACATGGTACAATACATTTTTGAACAAAGACTATTATATTATAATGAGTGAATATTCAAAGGATATCAAATTGGAATCTATTATTCAAAATACCAAACGGGTGATATCTGCTATTCGAAAAACGTGCGCTGAGCCAGAAGGTGAGACTTTGCACGTAAGGGCGCGTAAGGACACGTATATAATGCAGGCCTGGTGACGTGTGGTTGGTGCCCACAGTGTTGGAGATAAACGTCAACCAACACTGTCGCAGCTAGAGTCATTGAACAAGCATTGTACACAACAGCGATGAGGGTACAGGCCGTGTTAGCATTGGCTACAATTAGCCTCTTTGCTTCAGGTACCTCTGCTAATGGAGATGAGGTAAGGACAATTGGAGTTGATTATTGGGTTTTACTTCTTCTTCTTCTTGCATATGAATTTATTAAAGTAAGTTTGCTGGGAGAAAGTGATTTTAAGTTTTCATGCATTGAAACTTATTTTTGATTGAAAATAGATTTGATTGTTATTATTCTTTCGCCGCCTGTTTAACAAATACACTTTTTCTCAACCTGCTTTACAAAAGTAAAACAACGAAAAGTAGTGTCCATACGAATCTACATAGTTAAATCTGATCTGCCTAAAGATCATCTTTTCTAAATTTAAATTTTCTACTGGAAAGGAGATATTTCCTTTCGACAAAATCAAGATAAATTATAAGATACAATATAAGATAAGATAACTATATATAATTATATATTATCCTACACTTAGTGTACTAAATGTATAATAACATTAAAAAATAAATTTGATATTTAATGGCAAAATGAATATCCGGAGGATATCGTCACGATATACTCCGGGCGGAGGATATCGTGATGATATACTCCGGAAAACCCAATATGCGGAGGATATTGTGACGATATACTCCACTTGTTGATTTCCCGCCAAATTGACTCTATTTGGCATGGAATTCATTTTGCAATGATATTATACATTTAGTACACTCCTTGTAAGCAGTGTAGGCACTAAGGATCTGAAACCTGCTGGTCAAAATGGCATTACGGACCAGTTGCAATGTTATTTTCCTATACCTAGTGAAAAAATCAACTGGTCCGTACCAAAAGTAACCAGATAATGACCAGCGGACCAGCCATTAATGACTACACTGCTTGTAAGTGTAGGATAATAAGAACATCCTATGATTTTTTCAGATTATCATTTTAATCTACTCGGTGATATTAATATATGCACTCGTTCGCTTCACTCTCTCGTGCAGATATCAATATCACCTTGTAGATAAAAATGATATTCCTCAAAATCATAGGATATCCTATAAATATAAGATAATTAGGTGTGCCGGTATTTTTAATGTTTTGATATCACACGACCAATTTTTTCAGTTAAACGTTTCTGCCTGGCATATATAATCTTAAAGATGCAGTACTAGTCTTGTCACCATTCATGTAGTTTTGTTTTTGTAGGTGGTGACTGTTACATACAAATATACAGCTAATGTAAAACTTGAGAACACTACCATCAGCCTTCAAGCAACTGTTGAGATTACTGAACTTGGTGGTAAGTCAAACATGCAACTTGATATTACCGAACTTGGAAGTGAGTCATGTTAAACTAATTATATGCATCTTGAGATTACTGAACTTGAGGTAAGGCATGCTAAATTGAATGTAAAATCTAGTGTATGTAAATTGATATTACTGAATTTAAATATATTGAAAAGTACAATAAATATTATATATAAACCAATGTTGGTACATCTTTAATAGATGCTGGTGGCGATTACAAGAACACAGGCGCTAAGGAGTTCCAAGGTCGAGTTTATCACATTGCTGCTGTTGAAAATGGGTATTTAAACAATATTTCTTATGTTTTGCACTGATTAATTAAAATGTATACATTTGAGAAAAGGGTTACGTTCGCCTATGCCTAGACAATCTCAAACTTCCAAAATTAAGCATAAAAATTATTCATAATTTAACAAATTATTGATATACCTGGTGCAATGTATATATATTATATATATATATATATCACATTTGATACATCTATATACAGTAGTATGGTTGTTCCTCAAGCTGAATATCCACTTGATAAACGGTTTGGAAATCCATTTAAGTTCATCCAAAGGGCAGATGGGAGTATAGCAGAAATTCTGTTCCACCAGAAAGATTTATGTAAGTCGTCTTATAATGAAATAAAAGGGAGGAAATGTAAAAAGTTAGGTTGTGCAGAAGAATGATCCCTATTATGTTTTAATCTACTCAATCCACTCGCCCTTCATGAAATGAAGCCAAGTGATTGGGAAAATTGGGAAAACAGACAATAAGATTTTTTGTTGTTTGATAATAAATTATGATGATCTCATGGTTTTGCTGAAAAAGAAAATTGGGAAAATAGATATTACATGATATATGTATTTTTAAATTTTCAGCCAAAACAAACGTCCTTAACTTCAAACGAGGTATAGTGTCGGCGTTCCAAACAAGTACATCTGACGACGATGCTGAGGTTGCTGAAACGGACCAGATGGGGTCGCATAAGACAGTATATAAGTGAGTATCATATCAAAGATAAATGGAAGATTCACATAAAAAGTTTGGTATGATATATCACAATTCAAATTAATTTTAGATTCAGTAAAATAGATGACCCTCATTCAGTCATTATTTTCATAATTTCATAAAGTTGGTAGTTGAGAAAAACTGTAAATATTATGGCAATGAATAGCAACATAGGAGCTTATGCTAGTTAACATATCAAAAGGTTAAACTTTGTGGTTGAATTTTCATTCTTTTTGTGAAACTATACAAACTTTTTGCAATGCATATGTGAGAAATGAATTCAATTACCTGACTCAGTGAATTATGGATGATTTAATGTACCAGTGCCTTGTAACATCGTCTTTGAATTCGGGTTCCCGCCCTCACTCAAAGTTTGATACAAGCCATTCGTGCTTAAAACCGTCCACAATTCCATGAGCCTAATTCCTCCCAAAATAAAAGATTCCCTTTTGAAAAAGATTCATAAAAAGTGTATATTTCATTGATACTGTTTTAAAAGGGAAACTTCTTGCAATTGATTTTTTCCTGAAACGTATTTGATGGGCAAATGATATGACATACACTTTAGCTAATCTAACTTATACATATGACTGTTGTTCAACTCTTTCATTATTCATTCAAAATACTTTAGCTAATCTGACTCATATATATGCCTGTTGATGTGAGCCACTTACATTATATTTACTAGGGTTCTATCGGGGAAAGGTAAATCAAAAAAGCTTCAGAAACAGTTTGCTGCGTCTGATATTAAAGTAGAAGGTGCGGAGATAGAAGGTGATGAGGAACAAGATGTTGAGGATGGCAAAGTAGTCAATGGAAAGGGAAAAATCAAGATCAAATCTGGAACTGTAAGTGATCTTTTAATATTGAATATCTTATAATACAGGCATGTGTCTTGGTTTACCACAACTCGTTACAAACCTCAGGTTCAAAGTATTATTTGTATCAAATCACATTGAGAAACTTACTTTGCTTAGACAAGGAGGATTGGAAGGCAGTGTTCCAACGTGATGCGATATTGCTATTCCGTGCCTGTATATTTTTACGGCTGCAAGAAGAATGGTCGATTTTCTTGATTTTGAATTTTGTATTGACAACATAGTAGTAGTAGTACGTGATACCCATATTTGGGAAGAATATCGAGTGGCGTCCCTGGGAGCAAATCCTCCTTGGTACTTAGACGGTTCGTCCACGATGAGCTGACTTCTACAGTTTGGAACCAATCTGCAAATTTTCATTTTTCAGATTGGCAAGACAGATGTGGACAATCTTGGAAATGAACAAAATATCTCCCCCTTGAGTTCCCATGTTCCTGTGGTGACGTCTGGCTTGGAGGCAGAAGTCACTGCAACCTATACTTTAGAACGGTTGGAGACCAAAAACGTTCTCTTGGGAGGAAGAAACGAGGAAGGGGGGATAAGGATGAATTTGTATCGTCCAGTTTGAAATCTGAGGAGGATGAAGGTACCTATATCGCGTCCTATAATTATTGTATGATGAAGACTGACAGTTATTGTAATAGTTGTTTTGTATAGATCTATATTAACGGTGGTCCGTTTTACGACATATAACTTATATCCATCATGGACTTCCAAGGTATTATATTACAAGCTTGAGTTGAAATTGGAGTTGGAGCGACTGAAACCTTGGGAATCAAAATGAAGTGTATCTTTAGTAGTAGGTCCTGTGATCTAACGAATTTAAATGTTCTTTAATATCCTAATTAAATGCAGCTAAATTACAAGACATAGATTCAGTATTAATAAAAATTATTTTGCAGATGAGATTCTCTTAGAAACCTACCAAAAGGCAGTTGGAAAACTATTAGAAATTGATATAGAAGCGGTCTTCTCCAATTACCTGAAAGGCAAAGGGGATGTAGATGATCGTAAGTTTCTCCTCTTTATGGTATTCCAATGTACCTGTATTTATATACTGTAATGCACAATTCAAAGGTTATCATGAGACCCCCTCACACGGGATATGGTTGTGATTTTGATTAAACGAACATTGTGCTGTTAATTTTCCTACTCCCACCAACCCCTTCTACACCGATCTGTCATGAGTCGTTGGTCTCAAGCCAACCTCTCGATATGTTGAATGATCTAAATTTTAATTAAAATTAATTAATTTAAAACTTTAATTTTTATGAATCCTTTAATCCAATAATGCATCTGAACAGATGAATGTGTTTATCTTATATTTTCCAGTTATCCCTTTTAAGGATGTCTTGCTTCTTGAGAACAAACTTGATTATACTAGAGCATCTAAGAAAGAACTCAGCGAGAAAGAAATCGATCTTATGACAGCATATGTTATTTCTAAAACCAAAAAGGTAGTCTTTAAATTATTTTTTCGCGCCATCATGAACTTTTCAAATACGAAATACCTTTTTATAGGTTACTCAAACAGTACGGTAACTGTATCACATAACAGCATTCATTTTCCAAATAGAACGAACCATTGCATGACATTTTTTCATTTGTTAAACTGTTGTATCGTTTACACTAAAAGCATTTAATTAATTTCCATATAGAATGATAATTTTAATGACATTTTTACATGTATTTAAGTTCGTGAAGAAGTGTGACTTTTCTAAGGAAGAATGCTTGCAAATTGTCCAGTTGTATACCCTGGGAGGAGGTAAAGTTGCTGAAAAGGTAAGAAGAAATTCCTGATATGGGAATGTAACAAGGTGCTATTGTTGATATGTACAAGTATTTGAAATTATAGTTATCCAATATGATTAAAACATAATAAGACTTATCTCTCACCACACAGTGCCACGTTATGTTTGCATAAGGACTTGAAGAAACAAGCGGCAAATCATCACGCCAAACCACACCTTAACATCAATAAAACCAATAGAATATATATAAAATAATCGTACTTCTGTAATTGCAATTAATGTATTGATACTACAATATCCTCCAGATTTAATTAATTTTAGGCATTGATGAAAATCCTGAAGAACAAAAAGATTGAAAAATCTGCACGAATTAAGATAATTAGCATCGTCTCGACTATGATCAATCCATCGGATGCGTTTGTAAAGTTTGTGAAAAAGCTTTATGACTCTGAGAAGAAAGATGGCGACATCAAATCAGCTTTTCTTCTTTGTCTTGCCGCCTTGGGCGGTAATGACTCTGTTGGTGCCTCCCAAAAATCTGCTATAGTAGATACACTAATCAAGATTTTGAAACTCATACGTGAATATTTGGAAAGCTTAAAAGAAACCGATGATGACTTCCCTGCTTACTTACAAGACGCTCTCGATACTCTTGAAGCTATTGGTAACATGGGAGACGAGAGACTTGTTGATAAAGTTATCGAGTTTGCAGAAAAGTTCCCAGACAACCCGTCGATCCAAACTGCAGCGATACATGCTCTCAGAGCCCAATTTGGACTTTTACGTGTGCAACAATGGCTGAAGAAAGCGATGCAGAACGGAGATTGTGACCTAAAAGAAAATGCCATGAACACTCTCAGAGATAGAATCTCGAACGATTTCCTTAATGGTGTGAAGGACAAGTGGCCTCTTTATCACTTTACAGTTTTTGATGAATGGCTGGAGGACATTTTCTTAGATGGAAATAATACGGAATTTGAGTGTATTTTCTCAGATATTGAGAAATACTTCCAAGACAAGGCTGATCAAGAGGCGGAAGATGTACTGCTGAAACATAAAGGTATCATTCCAAGAAGGGTTGAGCATGCATCGTGTAGCTACTGGAATACCTTCGGGGGAAAGTATGGTGGAATCCAATCAGCAAGTACATTTCTCTCCGACAACAACAGATACACGCACAATGCCCATTGCTTGGCTCACTTTAGTGTTGGTGGGAGCAAAGCAAGTGCGCATTTAAAGACAGGAATATTTGCAGGGCGATATTGCTGTGCTTGCAATTTCAAGGTGTTTGCCAAAACCTATGCATACGGCTATGTCTACGGAAAATACTTGTCACTCGGAACTGTGGAGTTCTATGCATATAAATACTATTCCAGTTACGAGGTGCGAGGATATGTTAGAGTAGGGGGTAGAACATTCCTCGACTACCGGAACAGATGCTGTATGCACGGGCTAGTATGGTTAAAAGACTGGACAACACCGAGCTATAGCTGGCGGGTCACGATCTACAGGATCGCTGTGCTAGTGCTGAGACTCGACCTGAGCGTTTATGTCAGGCCTTATTTCTCCTTTAGGCTTCAGACGTCACTATGGACAGGTTGCGGTATTAGTGTATATGCAAGGCCGAAAGCTCATCTAACCATGTCTGGTGGCGTATCTGCCAGTCTTTGGGTAAGTTGTTTCAAGCAAAGAAATATAACAAAAACACTTTATGTCACCACTAGATATAGTACTTCATCACAGGGAGTACCCAAAATTGTGCGCATACTACCTTTGTCTGTTGAATTAATCAATATTGTTCTGTTACATCAAAATATTTTATTAGTTGTGCAGAATAGGGTCAAATAATGCTACTATGAGTCCTAAGGTTCCAATGCTCTTTAGGAAGCTGAGAGTGTTAGTCTCATACAGCGTCTTCAAACTTCACTTGGACATGAAAACCTGACATGTAATCGGGAGGTTGTGGGTTCGATTCCCACCAGGGCGGAGTGTCTTTTTCACATCAGCCCTTAGCATAGGATTTGATCCTATGTTTTCAGATTAACATACATAATATGAAATGTGGAGTGATTTGAATAGTTTCTCAGTTTGACAGGTCAGATTGGCATTCAGCGAAACATACATTTTCACATACAACCACCCTCCCACTCTCATAATTTTATACTATTGAAGTGCATTTTCATTTTTAAACAGATAATGAATGAAAGGATTTATGTTAAAGAGTTCGGGTCTCCTAAAAACACAATTAGAGTAACCCCTTGATTTTTTCGTGTTATTTGATGTAAAACAAGTTTGTTAATCAACTTATCAATTCTGAGGCTTGAATTAATTCTTTAACAGTATCAGTTCGATATGATTGTTCCTAGCCATGAATTTCCCCTTACATCAATAGAAATTAAAATTTAAATGTAAAAACCCCGCTCAAATTTGTTCAAGTCTGATTGGCTTTTTCCTTCAGATTATTTTGTCTTAGAGGAGCCATATTTATTACTTCTAAGGGGTTACAATATAGATAAATCCTCAAAAAACATTGTATTCTGTTTTCGACTTATTGCGTTCAATTCTGACATTTGGTTGTTCTTTTGGTTGTCCTGTTGGTATACTCAATATATTGTCGATATCGTGCTTATGATTTTGTCTCAAGATATATCTAAGGTAGATATGATGTTTTATGAGCAATTATATAGGGACATTACTGATTGTTCAGAATAGAAATCTGGACGACTCAATCTCTTTAAAAAAAGAAAAATGGCATTATTTTCAAATACATTTGGGTGAATCGTTCAAAGACAAAATGCTATCATGACCTTTGAGGTCAAATATCCTTACACACTAGCATGTTTCTCAGAACACTAATTTTTTATTATGGACAATTGAATTGAAAATATAAAATAATTGAAAAAATGGTTTATTTTTTAATTTACCCATTGGTGATGAAAGGGTTAAGTACTTTTTCAAATTTGACTCCAGCAAACCTCCAAAAACAGGACATACAGTTCGGGACATAAATAAATGACAGGTGGATTTGCTGAAGTGAGAATTTCCCATGTTAAAAATAAGAGAATTTTCAAGAGGCCATACATCAGTGGATGAGATTATACAAAATGTGAAATATACAAATTTTAAGGGATATGTATCTAGACAATATTGCAAATTATGGGCTTTCAGACGACCATAATTAGGAAATGGTGATCGAAAATCGACCTGTCATTTATTTTTGTCCCCAACTGTATATGTATCCTTAGAGCTGACACACTCACCTTTTCAGTGGTGTATTGTAACGTTATGCCAAATGAACTTGATATTTCATGGTTATTACGTGTTTCCAATAGCTTGTCCAAGGAGGTATAAATCTTGGAGTGAATCTCAACTATTACACCAAGGCTACGGCTAAGGCTGCATATCCTAACCAAGCGTGTGCCGGACTATACCATGGCTACGATCGTCAATCAATAAGCATCAGAGCCTGGTACCAGAGAAAGTACTTGAACAAAAAAAGTTTCTGGCCATGGAAATGGGTATGTTTAGTCTCTCTAGATCAATACTTGTCAACACCAATTTAAGAGAAGTTTATGACAACGGTGTAAAAATAATTTTTGTCCCTCGAGAAATTTTGCTCTCTATTTTTCCGTTTGATATTCACAACCTAGCCGAACTTTAAACGTTCATGCACTTAAAAAATTGTGACATACTTTAGACGTGATTAAAGGTGCAACAATTAGTGCAAGGGGGCCATTCAACGATCTTCGACCAGTGTCAAAATATATTTACGTTTGGATATTTCATCAAGACTAACATATATTTTTATTATCTACAAAGAAACCCCCTGGATTAACATTCAGCGGATATTCGTCTTGAAACGTGGTGGATCTTAAAAATCTATAAGTGGGACTCCCTTTATTTGAACTGAATTTACACTAAGTCTTCTTAATGCTGAAATTGATAGTTTTTCCATATATTTTAAGAAAATAGGTATGTCAAAGATGATGTTAAGCCAAATATTGATCTGATAGCTCAGAAAAAATAAAAAAATTCGAATTCTGTCTCTACAGTTTTTGTTGCCCCTTTAATCAATCATACACAAGTATAGATGTCATGACCCAAAACATATATTATTGTTGTAAAAACAATAACATAAAGGGAACTACAAAGCCAATATTTAAACTTTTTGCAGAGATGGGAGTGGACATCCAGAACGTATTATACGATACAGTCGTGGAGCGTACCAGCTGTGCCCGAGAGCAGGATTTGGTATGGTTGTGTGAACTAAAGAACAGTAGAAACAAGATCAAGTATTGTGTTGAAAAATAATATTGCTGATATTTAATGTTATGAGTAATGACTGTTATAATGCATCCAGAATAAATTCTAAACATTTAAATGAAACCTGAAATGTTAAGTTGTTTAGGCACCGCCAGAGACCATGTCGTCTCATTTCCCCTCAACCTTGAAATAGTGTCAGCGTAACGGCCATGGGGCCTTCCCTCTCTTTGGTGGTCTCAGAAAAAAATTAGGCCCGAAATTGTGTAGGGCCTCAATAAGTGGGCCCTTTGGGCATTTTAGGGGATTTTTTTTCTTTTGAAATTTGTTGTCTGGGATTGTCCTCTAGATATTGTTCAGATTTGTCCGTTTTTGTCCGAGTTTGTCCGTTTTTTTCCGGTGAAAATAATAAACATGTCATTTCTTATCTCCGGACAATTCAAAAGCATTGATTCACACGTGATGATCATATGACCTTTTGGACACAACGGGACATCATCGGACAAAACATGACAATCTCGGACATTACCGATGACGACTTTGGAAAACGACAGACAAACGCAGATAAAAGGGACAAAGTCGGACAAAGTGTATGGCTAGCTAAAGCGGACCGTGGTGTAAAGATATAGAATTTGTAACATGGCACTGTTAAATCTGATGTGAAAAACATGAAAGTGGAATCTCTATTAAATAATGATGGTATTCTTGACTCAGAGATTACAGTTAAAGAAGTGAATGATTGTGTAATGAAACTTAATAATAATAAGGCTGCAGGGCATGATGGATTGAATGCTGAGCATATCAAATATGGTGGTGACTGTATGACATTGTTATTAACCTCACTTTTTAATGTTATTCGGGTCAGCGAGTACATCCCAGAAAATTTTTGCACTGGCATTCTCATTCCATTACTTAAATCTGGGAATAAAGACTGTCACAACAAGGATCATCATCGGGGAATAACACTCATGAGTATTTTAAGAAAATTGTTTGACAATATTATTCTGTTAAGAATGCTACCTCGGCTTAGGAGTAAAATTCCCCAGCTCCAGGGAGCCTCTATTGAAAATTGCTCATCTCTTCAAACATCATTGTTACTACAGGAAACCATAGCTCATAATATTAAGGATGGCGTCATTTTGGCGTTAATGGACATTAAGAAGGCCTTTGACGGTACTTGGATTGACGGTCTGTTCTGGAAGCTATATCACAACGGTGTAAATGGTCTAGCGTGGCGAATTTTGTACCAGTCTTATTGTAAATACAAATGTAAAGTTTTTGTAAGTGGAATTTTAAACCAAGAATCTTTCAATGTCCACCGGGGAGTCCACCAAGGTGGGGTTTGTAGTATGGTCTTGTATCAGTTTTACTTGGCTGATTTATTACATGAGCTGGTTAACAGTCAGGCAGTTGCTAAAATTGGGGATCACCCTGTAGGTTGCCCGGCTTACGCAGATGATCTTGCTCTTATTACTACTGGTCATCACCAAATGAATATTTTACTTCAATTAGCTTATGATTACAGTCTTCGCTGGAGATTTGAATTCCACCCAGACAAATGTGTCATCATGTATTTTGGCCCAGGGAAAAGGGCTGCTCAAGATTTTAAACTTGGTAAAAATTCGCTTAAAATTGTTAACTCTGCTCAGCATGTTGGAATACCACTGGGTAGTACAAATGCACATGAGTAGTTT